AAGTACGCAACATCCAAAACCGCAGCGTCCAAAGTACGCAACGTCCAAAATACGTCCAAAATCGGGTTTATAGGGGGCATTCACAAAGTCCAAAACCGAAACATCCAAAACCGCAACGTCCAAAAACGTATCATCCAAAAAACGCAACATCCAAAGACGCAACATCCAAAGTACGTAACCTCCAAAACCACAACGTCCAAGACCACGACATCCAAGGCACGCAACATCCAAAACCAACCTAACCTAACCTAACCTAACCTAACCCAACCTAACCTAACCTAACCTAACCTAACCTAACCTAACCTACTGATTTATGCCTACCGAGGATAAGGAAACCCAACCTAACCTAACCTAACCTAACCTAACCTTCTGATTTATGCCTACCGGGGATAAGGAAACCTAACCTAACCTAACCTAGCCTAACCTAACCTAACCAAACGGTTTTGGATGTTGCGTACTTTGGATGTTGCGTACTTTGGATGTTGCGTACTTTGGATGGTGCGTCCTTGGATGTTGCGTTTTTGGATGATACGTTTTGGATGTTGCGGTTTTGGATGTTTCGGTTTTGGACGTTGTGAATGCTCCCTATATACCCGATTTTGGACGTATTTTGGACGTTGCGTACTTTGGACGCTGCGGTTTTGGATGTTGCGTACTTTGGATGCTGCGGTTTTGGACGCTTTAATGGTCCCCCTCTGTGACACGGCCCACCGTACCCGGTGAGACTGATGACGCCTACGGAGCCTCGCCGCCGCTGGTGGGAGGCCCGCCGACGCAAAGCAGGGACAGAGAAGAGGTCGTCAGTGACGCCGTGTCGCCGCCGCAGGCGGACATGGGACAGACCGACTGCGCTGAGGATGACGCGTGTCTGGCGCCGCTCGTGGGCCCGGTTCAGGGGATGGCCGGTGACGCCGCTGGCTGTGATCCGTGGCCGCCACCCGACACCGGAGCGCCGCCTACCGGTGACCTCCCGGGCGACAACGGGCGCGCCCGCTGCGGACGCCGGAACAAGCGCCCGCCGCCATGGGTCGCAGCAGTCGTGTGTGCCAGCCCCGATCGTCTGTTCGTTCGTTGGGGTGCGACCTCGTGTGAGGAGTGAGACAACGTCGTGCAGTGTTGTGTTTTTGGCGGTTTCACGACTGTTGTCTCGAGGGGGAGATGTTGTGTTTGTGTATAGGCCGCCCCGAGGCCCCCTACTTGGACCGCCTCTGCGACCCCACTGGGCCAGGTGCCTGTGAGCGCCCCTGCCGGCGCCAGCTGACCGTGCGCGCCAAGCGGCGTGACTGGCGCATGGGACGTGGGCTGGCGCTCGCCATACTTGTTTACGTTTTCGATCTCTCTCTCGGCCCATTCGCACCGGTCTAAAATAAATCGCGTTGATATTCATAAGCTCTTTCACTTCGAACCGATAAACGACAACTAAACACTCCTATGGAGATTTTAGAAACTTCCAAAAGTCCTTGCAAACTGAAAAGTACTTCGCCTTTTTCATTGACGATGTGATGGTAATGTTCAAAGCTTTTACAATTTCAGTGTGTTTTATTGAATATCAGATCAAGCACTGAAGTCGGTAAATAGTAAATACTGATGAAAGCAAGCATCCTGCATAGCCGTTCTATAATCTCTCTCCAGCATACGGGCGCCACATCAGTATACCAACCCAGAGGCGGCTCTTATTCAGACCGCCCATCAAGCCCGTAAAGAAGCCATTGCCTTCTGAAGAGCCCAACGACGTATCGTAATACCATCGCTGGTGGCGGCATTCCGTCCGGGATTTATTCGATGGCTCTGTGTCCGCTCCGGAGCCCGTGCGGCGGCCGGCCCAGCTGATCCGGCGTGAATCGGTGGCCGATTCGACCTGCCAAAGGCAATGGCTCCCCGTTGGGCAGAGCCGCTCCTGGGGGGCCAATTCGGGCGATACGCCAGCGCGGATCAGGGACCGGACTTGGCAATGTCGCGGCTTGTTCGGAAAACATGTTTGTGGGACGGTATTGGATTAGCGTTTGGTTGCCGCGCCGTGATGTTTCAGCAATGTAGCTCGACGGCGCTGAGGAGGCGGGATGTTCTGACATGGCTCGATCCGAGTGACCCGGAGGGGGGGGGGCGGCTGGGGGGATCTCTCGACGGTGGACTGGGCACGACGTCTCGTCAGGCGCCGGCTGGCCAATTCGGCGTGACGGTCGGCGCATTAGCTAATCAGGGTGGAATGCCACCAATTGATCGGAGACGGCTAACCGTGCTGAACTTTTTAAGGAGCCGTGTGATGAAGACCGTACCTTCCGACTCCCCCTGAAAGTCTCAAGGCTGGCCGAGAAACTCACTGAGCTATTTCTAGGAAGCTGATTCCCATCTCTTGATAGTTGTTTACTTCAAACGCCTGCCATTAATATTTCACCCATTCCTAGCTCCAATTAAGTGAAATTGAAGCTACATGGGGTGATATGCTAAGAAAATTGCCTGCATAAGAAAAAAATGCTGCATCCCCAAATGGCACACGGTATCCTTGAGATCGTCAAAAAAAAACTTGAAGCTTTCTTTGGCTGTTGATGTAAGTATAGCGATAGTTCACAAAACCTATCCGATATGATACATCATGTGATACATCGAGATGGACGGAGGATTACGTCCTTTTATGTCCCCTTGCGCTGCGTGTCCCTTCTGCGCGCCCCCGGACGAGCGCCCCTCCGTCTGCGGTGAGTACGACCGACTGGTGGTCTGGTCTGGCCGGTGGCCACAGGGAGAGACCGCCGAGCCACTTCATCAAGTGGCCACCATCGTCCGCCGCCTTCAATGGAGCCAATCTGCGACGGACGAGAGCGAGCCAAAGGCGACTGTGATGGCCAGCAGAGTCCGCCGCCCCCGCCCCCGCCCCCGCCCCCGCCCCCGCCCCCGCCCCCGCCCCCGCCCCCGCCCGTCCGTGCCCGCGGTCAGATGCTCTGCCGCCGGTGATGATTGCATAGGCTTGCTACCGAGATAGACGGAGGAGTTGAGTAGTTTAGATGGTAGTAGCGGCGGAACACCTTCAAATAACGGGGGGGGGGGGGGAACACTTCCGACTTTTGGTCCCATTCTTTCCATGCAAAGCCCATAGGGCTAATGTTAAAATGGCAAAATCAAGTGGAGAGGCACGGTGCCCCGGTGCCCCCCCCCCCCGTTCCACCGCCTATGTTAGATGGTGCTATTAACTCGGAATGGGAGAGTGATCAATGAAGCTGATGGAATTTGGGATGGAATGATGCATGAGATGGTGCTGGTGTAACTAATGCAATTACACGAATTGATGTGGCCAGTGATCAGTAGCCAGGCTAACCGTGTGAAGCACAAAAAACAGGTGAAGAACTGATAATCAGCATAGTATGAAAATCGTTTTCATTTGAGGTTTCTCGCTCTTGCTCATTATTGATCAAAAACACATCAGCATGTTTCGTTTGAACTTATATGCTTTTTACCGCAAAGGAGCATCAGCTCAAAACCAATCAATCGCATGGTCTCACAAAGGGTTCCGCCTTCGTCTTACACAAACTATCCGGGCATAGCCTCATTCGCCTGACGTCACTTAGGAGCAGCGTTCCTTTGACGTACCAAAATATTTGCCAATGTGCCGGTGAACCCGGCTGGTGTTTGGGATTCGGCAGTGTTTATTATTATCGACATCCACGCAAACTTGTTGGGCGCAGAATCCATGCCGCTTTGCGTCCGGTAGACCAAGTCTTGCCCGACGATAACGAAGCTAATTCAAGGAAAACATCTTGGTGAATGAATGCTAACTTTGCAATAGTCATTGAACTGGTATTGATGGCAATGTCTTCTGGTGATGTATGAATAGCTACTCAAGATTGAGAGATTTTCATAAATGAAAAATAGAAAATCTAAGGAACTCATTTTGGCCGCCCCGTGCCCCAAATGAATTTCTTCTCGAAGTACGCACTACGTTTTTACTCATATAGTCCAGTCCCAGCAAGCTTAGAAGCCCACTGATAATTGTTCTATGGAAGCTTAAACATATCTTTTTTTCAAACCTGTGCCGTATACAGAGACAGAGACAGAGATCTTATAGATGAATTTGCCTCCTCAAGCGTTTGAGCCGCAAATAGATGAATTTGCCTCCTCAAGCGTTTGAGCATCAGCTTTCAAGCTTTTTTATATTGTTGCCGCATTCGTTACTGCCTGTAATGACCATTATGAGGTCGGTGTGAACCACACCTTACACTCCACATAATGTTGTTTTCATTTGTAATTTTTACGATGTTTTACTGTAAATCGACGTAATGGGCTGCAACTGACGTAGACTTTCAATGCAACTTATTCGGCACAATCCTTTCCCTTCAAGTTCACCTGAAGGCTGAATTACATATCTGCCCCTGGAGCGGAATAGCATTGTTGTAGTTTTTTTTTGCATATAGAAATTGTAAGACGTGTCGTGCGTGCCATGTAGTACCCACTGCCCACCGATGAGCACAAACTACAAGCATTAATTTTAAAACGCAGGCAACGCCGGTCAGCATTCGCCGCGGTCGGCTGCGGGAGTTGCCGCCGCCGTAACATATACTGTCCCGCAAGGCATCAATGCTGTGCGGCGCAGCATAGTCATCGAGCCGGCTCGTAATCTAGCGTCTGTTCTGCTGGGTCTTCCGGGCAGGTTTCAGGGTCATGAGATGGTGGCGTGGAGGGGAGTAATGTCTGATTTAACCCTCCGCCAGTGCGGCGACATGGCTAACCCGTCCCTGGTTCAGGAACGTCCCGTGAGGACCGCCAAAGGTCATCCGGAAGGGTCGTGCTCCTGGGTTAATCCTCCCTACCGACTACCGTTTTGGGACATGGGTAGCGAATAGGGATGCTTCATCCATGAGAAAGGTGAGCAGTGAACACCATGTGAGAGGGGTCTCTCCCTGTCCCTTCTCTCCATCTTTTTCCTTCCTCCCTCCCTCCCCCATCCCTGTCCACACTTCTTTCAGTGAAGCATTATTGATTGAGATTCGTTTGTTTGTTTCTATTTTCAGTCGATCGACAGCTGGAGCTATGACGTGTTCCGGCTAGCTGAGGCGAGTGGTGGCGCACCACTGCGCCACTTGGGCTACGAACTCATCAACCGCTACGGGCTCTTCCACAAGTTCAAGGTGAGAGTAAATGAGCTGCCGGTGACCCGAGGGGAGCGCCGGACACGCGGTCTCCGAGACACTCCGCGATTAGCTAATCAACGGGGTCACACCGACCGTCCGGCGGCCGCGCCGCTCGGCCTAAGTAGATTGAACGTGTACCAACTCTGGGGATAGAGAGCGCTACTGAAATATTTCCAGCCGCTTTAGTGAGGTTGGACTAGAGACAGAAGTGCATTTGGGCTATTTCAGAGTCACTCAGCCGCATTGCTAGCGCGACTTGATTAAGCGAACATTATGCGCGACTTTAATTTTATGAGGCACATCAAGCCTGAAATTCTAGCCATTATTACAGCAGTTGACAACAAGTCGGTGTATGTGACAGCAACCTGGCTTCTAAAACAACTTCCGTAGCTACTTAAAAAGTTTTAATGCGTACTTCGCTCTCACTTTTTACTGTCGCACGAGACGTGAAACAATTGTAACATTTTACCCGCGCTAGTGGCGGTATTCTAATCGACGATAAGTCTTGCAGTAGCAACCGGGGTGAGAGAACCTGCTTGTGAAATCCTGTGGCAAGGTTCTCCTGTTACCGGTCACATCACAACCTATTGCTGTTACATGATCACATCACAATAATCACGTTAATAATCTACTTGTCCGTTCTGGTCAATACCAGTCAATAGCTCTTGCCTGAGCCGGCTATACCGACATAGCTTGTCCAATCGTGCGGCGCGACTGCTGCGTGAGGCGGTGGCGGGTCCGGCGCCCACTGAACCCACCCTGCAGGCCGCTGACCTGACCTCTGTCTGTTTGTTCGGCGGCTCTAACTGGCGCTCGGTGTGTTTGCGGTTCGGCCGTGGACGGCTCAGTTCTGGCCCGTTTGCACTCGTTCCTGACAGACCGATCTGCGCGGGGGCGGGGTGCGTGAGGTCGAGCGAGGTAGAGCTTATGGAATCCACGTAGGCGGCTAGCGGAGGTGGTGTTACAGGTTCGGTCCAGCAACTAATTGAGTGGGGCCAGGTAGGAATTTTTCCGATAGCCAACGCTCACATTCAGTCGATAAGATGTGGGCGGGCAGGATGACAGTGAGGTCAAGGTGCATGGGAGCCTATTGCGCCAACTGGTTTTGATAATGATTGATTTTATGATCATGTAATAATTATGAACCAGTAGTCGAAGCTCAACGCAAGTTGAATTTAAAAACTAAATATTGTAGCACGCATTGAACTCTGAAAGCATTGTGGATCAAACAAATTAGGAAAACGATATGATACAGTTTACTAGGAAAACTTGCAAGGAAAGGGAATAACAAGCTAAGTAGCTGGATTGCATTGCAGAACAAAATTGATGTGGTTTTATTCGGAACAGTTGCCGAAGCAAATTGACAAAAAAGTCAAGAGCATTATCGGGGAAGGCATTCTTACAATACAAGTCGGGTTTATAGCACTTTAAAGATCGTTTATAAACCGATTGCGCTTTAGGTATGTTTTGCCTGGATCTAATTTTCATGTCATTCGGGTTTCAGACGGCATGATTTTTCCCATGTCTTCTTAGGTTTGTTGGGCATTTTCGTAAAAAGTTTCCTGGAACTTTTTAGCGAGTAGGTATATTGCTTGCGCAATACGCAATGATTGAGAGCCATTGAAACAAGTGTGCTGCATTCCATTGCAAGGTGTCGATCAGTTTAATGTCCACATCAAATACATGTTATGCCATCGATTCCCATTTATGATAGGTAATTGATCTAGTGAATACCAGCGACTTGCAATAACTCATAAGTCAGTCTGTGCATGGTAATTCCATGGATGAAATAATAGATACCATGGATGAGTATTTTTTCATCCATGGTAATTCCATGCCACGGATTATCATTTCTTTATCGATGTGTTCAATTATGGCTTTAGCTCAGATCCCTTACAGTTATTTAAGAAGGCAATTGAAAAATACAACTTGTTTCGCTTCCAAGCAGAAGTTAAGCTAACATGAAAGTTGCGTATCGATGGGCATAAAAGCGCAAAAGTATTCGGCAAAAAGTCGCCAGGCCAGGATTTACACAGATTCGCTTTGTCCGTAAATCTGTGCGGGCGCACGTTACGGTGAGTGCAGGCAGACATCAGCCGTGCTGAGATCGATGCACGCGCTGCAGAGGCACCGGCCACAGCTCTCCGCTAGCCGCGGCGTAAACAGCCACCGTGAGCTGTGACGTCACAGCGGCCCGGTGGCGTCGAAAGCGGCGCGCCCTGTGCGCCACGCTTGCCGCACACAGTCGCTATCTCATTGATTCGCCACTTCCGCGCTACTGCTCGTAGCAGTGGCGCCGCTGCCGCCACCGCGTCCGTAATGTGTTTATGGAGGGCGTGGCGGCGCCATTATGGGGTCATTAAGGTCAGCAGGGAGCCGGGTGGCTGCGACCGGGCCCCGTAGTCTCATCTCCACCCCATCTGCGGGACATTTGTTACCGCTGCGTGGCAATCCGATCGGAATGCGGGTCTGGTCCATTGCCGGGCGCTGCTGACGTGTGGGGGCCGGTGGGCCGATGGGATGGTGTGGGACGGCGCGATGATGGGACGGTGGGTGGTGCGCGCGGGACCCGTGCTTATTTTGGAAGTCTGTTGTCGGCTAAAGGTCTCCCCCGGACGCCGATATGGTCATCGATCGAAGATAGCGATGTTTGATGGGAACTTAGCTAGTGTGTGCACGTGTGCGTGTGTGAGAGAGAGAGAGAGAGAGAGAGAGAGAGAGAGAGAGAGAGAGAGAGAGAGAGGGAGGGAGAGAGAGAAAGAGAGAGAGAGAGAGAGAGAGAGAGAGAGAGAGAGAGAGAGAGAGAGAGAGAGAGAGAGAGAGAGAGAGAGAGAGAGAGAGAGAGAGAGAGAGAGAGAGAGAGAGCATGAAGGGGAAGACAGGGAAAACCGAGGTATTGTACAAAGGCATAAAGCTCGTTAAGCCTAACATAACCCTAACATAACCCTCGCCCGTTTTTTTTTTGGGGGGGGGGGTCGAACGGATCCTCTCCCCTCGGTTTTTCGCTAATAACTCGCGTAAAAAGCGACCGATCGCGACGAAACTTTCAGTGCCCTTGAGTTGATCAATTTCATACCTATCCTGAAAATTTCATGACCCTGACCTGACCCAAATGACCTTTGCCCTGTGACCTACTTTTCGAGACCATGTTTGGCCGGAATCGCGATTCGGCGTATGTCGGCTCGCATTAGCCGCGCGTTTGCAAGCTTTTCGTGGTTTTAAGCGTTCAAACATGGGATTTGATGTTGCTCCCATGCATTAGGGTGGGTGTCAAGGTCGCCTGAAGGTCAAGTCAGGTTATTGACCCTTGATGACCTGAAGGTCTTTGGTCACCTGAAGGTCAGGTCAGGTCATTGACCTTTGATGACCTTGCCGCTCGGTTCACTTTTTTCGAGTTTTACATGTTTCTAGGCCAGTTTTTGGAGCTGAATTCGAATTTAGCAACCATATGAACAGTTGCGAAGTGGTTTTGGTGCCTTCGTAACATGTTACGAAGCTGTCAGAGGCGGTTGACACCTACCACGAATACCCGGCAGGACCCCTACTGGTTGACCTGACCTGACCTAACCCGACCTGGCCTAAATGCATGAAGACATCATCTGTGATCAAAACTAACATGATATTCGTGATCAGCTTCCCGAAAAAAAAACATAGGAGCCACACTCTACGACGTTCTAAAAGGTCCCGTTTTTCCCGACTTAATCAACGGACCCCCACCCTTATACCCTTATACGTTCGCGGCTGGAAAAAAAAACACCAATACGGGCGAGGGTCAAAACGTTTGCCTGCTACGCAACTGGACTTAAGTGGTCTGACTGTTAGCGAGCTGTGCTGTAACGTGCTTTTTGTGTGTCGAGCTTTCCAGCGTTTAAATTTGTGAAACTGGATAGCAATAGTTCTTCGTGTATTTGATCGCTGCAACGCCAACATCAACTAACTTCGATGGAAATTGAAGTCGGATGAGCATATTTGCGTTTCTCATGCCTATATCTCAGTCTCTGCTTCGGCAAAGTTTTCAGCTGAAAGCTTGTTGAGAGCGAAGTTATTTGAACATTCATTAGTTTCAAGTTATCGATGTTTCGTATCCGAAAAGTGACTCATGTCACTTTGTTGTCCAATGTCCATGACTTCACAATCTTTATTTGAACCATGGATGAAGTATTTACTGGATTGGCAACTCTCCCTCGATTCGCGACCAAATATCGCAGTGCGCATGCGCCAACTCCAGATAGGACGCCGGTGTTTGGCGGCTATGCGTTCCAATGATGGGACGGGGTGGTTGGGTGGTTTTTGAGCAGTTTATCTTCGAAGTTCAACTGATAAAGGATAACGGCACTGTTTTTCATAATCTTTATGAGTTGAGAAGGATTTAACTTTAACACGGGGAGGGGCCGACGGGGAGGGGGGCGGGTCGACGTCGCCCCACCCTGACGGTTTTTTCGCGATTGATCGTATGGCGCTGGGGATAAAGAGCTGAAACTTGGAACACCAGGCCTTTGATTCAAGCCGGATCTTGTGAAATCAACCACATTTTCAGGTCGGGTCAGATCACTGACCTATGACGTCATACGTAAACCTCTGCCGTTCTGCACGGTCCTAAAATAGTTCAGTGCTGCAACTTCGCAACGCCCTCAGTGCCAGACGATTTTCACTGGAAGATGAAACTTAGCAGGGCTGCAGAGTCGATGGATTTTCGATGACTCCGACTCCCACTTCTACTCCCACCCCGGGCAGATCTGTCGACTCCGACCGACTTCAACTTCGACTCCGACTCTGCAGCCTTGCCAGGTCTGCGGAGTCGATGGATTTTCGGCGGGACTCCGGTTCGCAAAATCGACTCCGACTCCGGCCCCGGTCAGAACTGTCGACTCCGACCGACTCCGGACTCCGCAGCCCTGCTCCAAAGACCTCTTTACTTGTATATATTGGATTTTTCTTAAAGGGCACCTGGGGTCAGGTCGCTAACATCATAACATGACCTCACCATTATAAGCCTC